GCCCCAGAATGTTCCCTTCCGCCCCTTCCGAGACAATCCCCGCCTTGAACTGGACTTTTTAGCGGTTAAACCAATTTATCCCCCAACCAGAAATGCTTGCGAATACCTTACATCCTCTCTTACACAATGTGATCAGAGTTTTTGATGTGAAAAATGTGTGATAGTTTAAGTTGCATTTCTCTTATTAGTGGAAGTTAAGCGTGTGTTTACAAGCCATTTGTATTTCCTTTCTGCAAATTCTTCATATTGTTTGCCCATTTTTGTTGGGTTGGAGGTCTTAGCATTCTTTATTCCATTTGAGAATCCAATTATGTTAAGTAAAAGGTTATTTTTTCTGACTGTTTATAATTTTAATAAAATTTGCATATGTTCTGTGATTTTTCCAGTGTTCTGTTATTAGTTATTAAATCTCTTATGCCATCTTGAAATAGGTGAATATATTGCACCTTTTCTCCAAAATTGAGAACATGAAGAACAGTAATAACAGAAAATACTTGCAAATCATATGTCTGACCAGGGACTTATGAATAGTGTATATAAAGAACTCTTACAACTCAATAATAAAATAACAAATTACCCAAATAAGAAATAGGGAAAGGGCCTGAATAGACATCTCTCCAAAGGAGGTATACAAATGGCCAATACGCACCTGAAAAGATTCTCAACATCATTAGATGAGATACCTCCATACTTGGCCCGTTGTGATCAAAAGGACGGTATTGATATGGATAAATTGGAACCCTCATCCACTGCTTGTGGGAATGTAAAATGGTGCGCTCACTGGAAAAATAGTGTGGCAATTCTTCAGAAGGTTAACACATAGATTGACCATATGACCCAGCAGTTGCACTCCAAAAGTTGGTACAAATGCCCATCAACTGATGAGTGGATAAATAAAGTATGGTATATACATGCAGTGGAATATTATTTGGTAATAAAAAGAAATGAAGTACTGATACATACTACATTATAACTATAAGGTTTCATGGTTGAATCTTGAAATTACTATGTCATCTAAAAGAAAGCAGACACAGAAGGCCACATGTTATATGATGCCATTGATATGAAATGTCCAGAATAACCACATCTGTAGAGACAGAAGGTACATTAGTTACCTATGGCTGGAAATAATGGAAGGATTAGGGATTTGTAGCTAAAGAGTACTGAGTTTCATTTTGAGGTATCTAAAATTTGATTTCTAAAATTGATTGTGGTGACGGTCGCACAACTGTGAACACACTAAAAACCAGTGAATTGTATACTCTCAATTGGCAACTTGTATGCTGTATAAATTATATCTCAGTAAAGCTGTTAAGAAAGGTCACAAATAGAACTGAAGAACTACCAATTAACAAATTTCATTCCTCACGTAGCTTTCTTATTAAAATTGATCCTAGGATAGGCCTCAGGTTTTCCTTGGTGAAAATTATTTATGTTCCCTGTCTTCCAAATGGCTTGCTCATTATGTACGGATATGACTTGACAGCACACTTTCTGGTACTGTGCGGGGTTTATTATCATTGCACATCTGAGAAATTATACTACATGTTAGGGATAAAAAATCTTCACTTTATCTTTTAATAGATTCTCATCAATATTTAAGGCCAACATTGTGGTTTTATAGTCCTGTTCTTAATACTGATCGTCTTCAGGGAATAGGTTTGAAAGTTATTTTTTATAAATTTGGGAGGATGGTGTTCATTGTACTCATTTTTGCATAGAAGGTCTGTGTTAACATTATGGGCCCAACTAGTACATGGCACTTTATTTGTTTATTTATTTTTTAAAAAATTATTTATTTGTTTATTTTTAGAGAGAGGGGAAGGGAAGGAGAAAGAGTGGGAGAGAAACATCAATGTGTGGCTGCCTCTCATGTGTCTCCCACTGGGGACCTGGCCCGCAACCCAGGCATGTGCCCTGACTGGGAACTGAACCAGCGACCCTTTGCTTTACAGGCTCATGCTCAATCCACTGAGCTGTACCAGCCAGGGCGACACTTTAATAACTGATGTAAAATAGAGGTAGAATTAGTATTTAAATATACAATGCAGTATTAAAATGACCACTTTGCATTTGGTTTGATAGTAATTCTTCTGTAATATGTTATTGGGACATATTAGTGGTTTTAAGAAATTTCTACAGTAATGAAATTTAACAAAGGACAATTCCTAAAATTTTATCATTAATTTTTTTTAATCCTCATACAAGGATATGTTTATTGATTTTAGAGAGACAGAGAAGGGGAGAGAGAGAGACGTCAATGTGAGAAACATTGATCAGTTGCCTCCCATATGCCCCCGACTGGGGATCGAACCCCTGACCTTTTGGTGTGTGGGATGATACTCCAACCAAATGAGCCACCCAGCTAGAGCTCATCATTAATTTTTAAATAAACTTAACATCTATGGATTACACGAGAAACAATGCTCTATGGAATGTGTTATATGTGAAAGTGAAATTTTAAATTTTTTGAAAGAATTAAGGTCTTCAATATTACTTTGTGAATTTTTAAAATCTGAATTAGGCTTATATTCTGAATGTGGCATCAAACTTAACTCAAAATAGCCCATTTTCCCTTAATGCATTACTTTTTTTTTTTTTTTTTAAGAACAGAAAGTATTACAGGTACATTGTTTTTAAAGTATGAAAAGCAACACAACTTTAATCTCTCTCCCCAGAGGAAAATATTTCTGTTTTGGTTCTTCATAAATTTTGAATAATGTATAAATTACAACTTTTAACATAAACCTTACTGAAGTAAAACATATATACAGAACAGTATACAAAGCACAAATGTTTAGGCTTACCAAATTTCCACAAAGTGAGCCTCTGTGTTGCCCCATCTAGATCAAGACAGAATGTTACCCCACGCCGCAGAAGGCCTTGACCTCACCAGTGACCACTATCCTGATTTCTGCCACCATCAATTAGCTTTGCCTGGTTTCGAACTTTATTATATAAACTGTTTCCTAGAGTGTGTATTCTGGCATCTTCCTTGCAACAGTCTGCCTATGAGAGTCCTCTCTGTTGCTGTATGTAGTAGTATTTCATTCTCATTGCTGGATGGTTTGAACATGTTAGAATGATCCTTTCTTCTGTTGATAGAAATTTAGATTGCTTCCATTTTGGGGTAATTACAAATAGTGTTGCTCTAGACATTCTCGGCCTTTGGTTGCACATATGTGCACACTTGGGTGAAATCCCAGGACTACAATTAACCATATTGGAAGGTATCCATATTGCTAGAGTGTTTCAGAGTGACTGTACCAACTTGTTCTTTCAAAAGTGCGGTACTTGATATATCAGCGTTAGACTGCAAAAGATAAGCATTTAGTTTCCTTAACCTCTCTATCCCCTACTTTGGTGCTTTAAATTATTTTTACTTCTGTGGTTGGATTTTTATTTTTTAAAGGTTTTATTTATTTATTTTTAAACAGAGGGAAGAGAGGAGAAAGCGGGGGGAAAGAAACATCAGTGTGTGGTTGCCTCTCACATGCCCCCAACTGGGGGCCTGGCCTGCAACCCAGGCATGTGCCCCGACTGGCAATCAAACAAGCAACCCTTTGGTTTGCAGGCGGGTGCTCAATCCACTGAGCCACACCAACCAGGGCTGTATTTTTATTATTATAACTGGAAACAATCTCTGTTCTAATTCTGGAAAATAGCTTTTGTCCAGTTGTAATAAGAGAAAGATGAATTAGACACTCCCCATTGTATTATTCAAAAAGGAAGAAGCCCTCTTTTACACAGAGAGAACATGTACAAAATTTAAATTCGTGTTATATCATGTGACCAAGCAGTGTTAACAAGGAGGGATGTCCCGTAAATAAGGGGGTTAACAATGTGATAGGAGAGAGTAAGGTAAAATAACTGTTCTGAGGATAAAATGCTGGAATAAAGCCACCTGTCCTGTGCCTACTACCTGTATTTGTTAGGGTTAGGATAGCTGTTTAAAACATTATTCTCAAGATTTTGGTGCTTAATGTGCAACCAATTAATTTTTTTCCTTCTCTAATAGTAGTTTTCGTGTGGATAATATGTGGCTTTTTGTGTCTGGCTTCTTTTACACAGTGTAATGATTTCACAGTTCATCTGTGAAACCTTACAGTTTAATAATAGTAACGTGGGTGTTCTTTGTAAGAAGGGTGACTTTATAGGTACATGGGATTTAGGGGCCCAGGCTGCTTTCATCCTGTGCCTCTGCCATCTCGTAGGGTCTTGGAGACGTCTGCATTAAGCCAGAATGGGAAAGAGACGGTAGAGAAAGAACGTTTGCTTCTAAGAGTAAGTCTTGTTGCAGAAGGGGCAGTCACCGCTTGGGCTCACATTCCATTTATGGGAACTTCACACGGGAGTCCCACCTAGATGTAAGGGCTTGGAGTCATATTGTCCTTAGCTGAGTACTGGTCCAGCAGTGCCAGATCCCCAGGATATTGGAGGAGCATGGGGTTTTTGCTGGACACCTAGTAAACCATTCTTCTGTACTGTCATCTCCTTAAGGATAAGACCAGAATAATTTTTTTAGGTAAAACTGGAGTACAGTCTAAGTTTCAGGTGTGCAACATTTAATTCGACCTCTATATACTGTTAACCACCAAAGCAATCGCCACCAAAACTCCGGTTACCATCAAGACCAGAATAATTCATGTTCATTAACTCAGGACAATTTCACGTTTGTTAACTAACATGAAATTTTTTGCTGATTAAGTAGTGGAATTTTTATAGGGAAATAAGCGAAGATTTACAACTAAATGGTATTTCTTACCTCCTTTGGTACCTCTTATATGTGTGGTTTGTTTTAACTTTCATTTTTCTCATCCTTTACAGTTAGAGGTCGCCTCTCAGTGAAACATAGAAACTGCCTACCATATTTTTCATCAATTTTACAAACCACTAAGAAAGAAAAACGCTGTCAACCTACGGTGTGCTATTGATTTTAAACATTGATTACATTTGATTTAACCCCCATTTCCATCTTTTTTCTCCTCCCTTCCCTCTAGTTTGTGATTGGCACAATGGAAGAAGCTGGAATATGCGGGCTAGGGGTGAAAGCAGATATGTTGCATAACTCTCAATCAAACGATATACTTCAGCATCAAGACTCAAATTGTGGTGGCACAAGTCACAAACATTCACTGGAAGAGGATGAAGGCAGCAACTTTATAACAAAAAACAGAAGTTTGGTGAGCTCAGCATACTGCACACAAGAGTCAAGAGAGGCCATTCCTGGGCAAGAAGCTCGAACTGATCCCCCCGATGGTCAGCAAGATTCAGAGTGCAACAGGAGCAAAGAAAAGACCTTAGGTAATATCTCTGCGCAGTGGTCGGACGTTCTCACACACCAGCCCATTTACTCATATTTCCTGTGGCATCGGTGATTATGAACGTGGCCTGTAGTGGCCAGTATTGAGGTGGATGTTTAGCATCTGTTGTCTTCATTGGGGTCTGTCTGCCTGTGTGCTGCAGTTCTGTGCAGGAGGTGAAGATAACAGAGTAGGAAGTTTGCTCTAAATAATTAAGAATTGGCTTTTGTGAAAAAAATTGGGGCCTACTAGATAGAAGTAGTATTAGACTTGCCTTGTTTGCATCTTTAATGTGGCTTGACCAGCATCTACTACGAAAACTGTATATTTATTTGATCGCTTTAGTATTTAAAAACTAGTCAGCAAAAATCGAGAGATGACATAATGTTATCTGTAGTTCAGAAAGTGGGGTAAGACTGGCTCTCAAGGGTACGTTTTCTTTCACCTCCTCTATTTGAGACTTAGGACCAAAAATGTGATACATGGAATCTCGTTATGAAATCTGAACTGACCTTTCATTTTGACCTTACTGGTTGCCTCTAAGTTTTTTATACTTATACCCAAGATTAATAGTGTTTAATTTGTATGGTTTTCTATATGCTACATTAGAATTATCCTTATTAAATCCATTTTCTGCTAAATTGGAAAACTTAAAACTTTTTAGAAATAGAAAAATAATTTTAATTAAAAAATTTTAATTTCCTTACAAATAAAGACAAATTTCTTCAAAGTTAGCAGGCCCAGCAATATGTGTAACAGCAAACAGGGTCTTAAAAAGTTGCACATAATGTTACCATGTGACTCAGCAATTCTACCTATACATGTGCCCCAGAAAATTAAAAATGTGTCCATGAAAAATGGTAGCTGACTGTTCCTGACAGCATTATTCATAATAGCGCAAAAGTTAAAACAAATTTCATCCATCAGCTGATGAGTGGATAAGACAATGTAGTATACTCATACAGGGGAGTATTATTCAGCAGCAAAAACGAATGTAATGCTGATCCCATGTGGGTGGACCTCAAAAAATTATCCCAAGTGAAAGAAACCGGACACAGAGGCCATGTTGTATATATGATTCAATTCTATATGAAGTGTCTAGAATTTGCAAATTCACGGAGACAAAAAGTTAGAGTAGCGGTCGTCTGGAAGAAGGAGCAGTGGGGACTGCTGGAGGGTATGGGGTTTCTTTCTGAGGTCATAAAAAGTGTTCTAAAATTAGCAGTGATGGCTGCACCACTTTGTGAATATACTCAGTTGTATACTTTAAAATGGTAAACTTTATGGTATATGAATTGTATGTTCAAAATACCCAGATGTAATGTCGGTTTAAAAATCATCATATAAATTGAACCTACCAGCTAGCCTAACAAATAAAACATTATCACTTATTTTGAAACACCACTCGTCCCCTCCTACTTTAACTACTTGCTTCTCCCTGCCAAAGTCTTTAAATGTTGTTAAGCTCTTTTCTCCAAGGGAAGAGCTGTGTTGACATCTTTTCATTTATAATGAACTTGGTTAACACATGGAATATGCTTGCTAAACTGTCAGAAGTTACTTAGATTTCACATAGAAAAAGGCATATGTCACAAGTGAGTATGCATATCTTAGGCAGGCAGAGAGTACCAACTGAAATTCCCTTTGAACATCTATATTTGTACTTGCTTAGGAGGAAGCTTTTAAAAATATTCTGCCCTTTGTAACTTGCCCTTTGTCTTAACTTGGACATCGGTAGTTAAGCAGAAGGATTTTCAGGCCTTCAGCAAGAGTTCTTACAAATAGCTAGCCTTGTTAGAAAGTGAATAAATTTGAGGCGGGGGCGGGCGGGCTGCTAATCCCGAATTTAAAGATAGCTTTTTTAGTTTAGCTGGGAAATACCTTATTTCTAGTTATAGGCGTAAATTATTTTATTCAGATTGTCAGAACACAGGAAATGTTATATAGAATTTGCAGGTTAGATTTGATCTCATTCTTCTTCCAGGACTTATTTGTTATCTTGTTAATCATCAGGAAAAGAAGTTTTATTACTGATGCAAGCCCTAAATACCCTTTCAACTCCAGAAGAGAAGCTGGCAGCTCTCTGTAAGAAATATGCTGATCTTGTGAGTATTAATTACATCATGGGAGTGAGGTCCATATAAAATATAGCAAAATGGGTGTGTGCTTGATCAGCTTTTTAAAATGTGACTTTGATGTAGCTTTAAATGTAAAATTATTCCAAAATTGAGGAGGAGAATCTGATTTCTTGGGGCTTTTTTTGTTGCTTGTATGACATCACTTTAAAACTTGATACCTAGGAGAGAACATTAGAATGCTAATAAGATATGGTATAATTTTTGTAAAACTCATTCTTGGAGTATTCCTAAGTCAGCCTTTTTACCCCTGTGTTATGATGCTTTTAGTCAGTTGGGATATAGTGGTTCCTGTATTTAATTTTTCCTAGGCGAATCCAAAGTTAAAGGCTCTAGCCATTGTGATTGAAATTGTGAGTTGGATGAAATAGTCTACTAACACATACTGTGGCTCAGGAAATTTTGATTTTGCATATGGTCTGTGCCAGGTATTCCTTTTTCCATCTTTCAAAGAAGTTGATCTTATTTGTTCTGGGCCTAGGTTATTTCATGAAGCACTAATTTTGTTTTTAAAATTAAGAAAGAAGTCTCAGCATGGAAACACTGCCATCCTTTTTAAGCTGAAGCATAGCAAAATCATACAACCCTTTGAATGAAAGTTTTTTTTTTTAATTTTTTTATTGATTATGCTGTTACAGTTGTTCTATTCCCCCCTTCATTCCCCTCCACCCTACCCCCCCATCCCCACCATTACCCCCCCTTTAGTTTATGACCATGTGTCGCAAGTTCTTTAGATTCTATATTTCCCATGCTATTCTTGCCCCCCCTTCTATTTTCTATCTACTGTCTATGCTACTTACTTTCTGTACCTTCTCCCCCCTTCTCCTCCTCCCACTCCCCTATTGCTAACCCTCCTTGAGATCTTCATTTCTATGTTTCCACTCCTGATCTAGCTGTCCTTTTAGTTTGCTTTCATTTTAGGTGTGGTTGTTAATAACTGTGAGTTTGTTGTCCTTTCACTGTTCATGTTTCTTTAACTTCTTTTTCTTAGACAAGTCCCTTTAACATTTCATATAATAAGGGCTTGGTGATGATGAACTCATTGAATTTGGTCTTATCTGAGAAGCACCTTATCTGTCCTTCCATTCTAAATGAAAGTTTTGCTGGATAGAGAGAACAATCTTGGTTGTAGGTCTTTGGATTTCATGACTTGGAATACCTCTTTCCAGCCCCTTCTTGCCTGTAAGGTCTCTTTTGAGAAATCCGCTGACAGAATGAAAGGTTTTGGAAGACTTAGAATTCTAATGTAAATACTAAAATTAATGCCCTTCGTGAAATACTTAATGTGAATCATCATTGGCAATTTATATGCATTTTCATCTGTTGTTAAAGCAGCTTTATTCCATATCATAAACACTGCTGTTTGTCAATGACCAGTTCTAAAAGTGAATTCTATTTATTTATTACTGAAAGAAATAAAGTCACTTTCCCTCAGTTTACAGAGGTGTCTGAGTATACCTCCACATAGCTGGCATTCAGCAGTCTGGAGCCTTGCACAATTCAGAGCAGGAGGAAATCCTGTGCATCCACGAAAAATGGCCTAGAACAAATGCAGAGATGGCAGAAAACAGTGTGGTCAGGATTCCTTTCACTTCCATTGGCTACGGAAGAAAGTCCCTTTGGTTCCATCCGCATGAGGAGAATCATGCGAGAAGTGGTGGGAAACGAAGAACAAAAAAAGGGAAAAGAGAAAATGGAGAAAAGTATGAAAGTGCAAAAGAAAGCAGTGTAGGGTTGGCTACCTGACAAGAGCAGCTAGCCGTGAACGGGTTTGGAGAGGAAAGGGCAAATAGTTGCATAAGGCAATCCTTAGACTCATGTAGGTCATTGGGACATTTGTTAAAAGGTACATTCTCATTCCCTGGGTCTGGGTTGGGCCCTGAGAGTCTTCGTTCTGACAAGCCACAAGCTCCTAGGTGATGATAATGGTACCTAGCAGCCCTTGGATCACCGTTCAAGTAGCAAGGATCTAGAGTGTTTCTGTTTGTGTGTATGTGTGGGGTGGGGGAGGCTGTGGTTATTTTTAAGTACCAGTTATGGTCACTAAATCCATTTTAGGATGTGACACACTGAAGAATTGCCAAGTGAGTAACCTCTCTTAGATTTAGATTTGTGCTGAACATACGAAGGACGAAACATTTACTGTTTTCAGAAAATGTTCTAAAGCTTGACTTCTTTTTTTAAAAGATTTTATTTATTTTCAGAAAGAGGGGAAGGGAGAGAAACATCAGTGTGTGGTTGCCTCTTGCATGTGCCCTACTGGGGACCTTGCCTATAACCCAGACATGTGCCCTGACTGGGAATCGAACCGGGGACCCTTTGGTTTGCAGGCCAGTGCTCTATCCACTGAGCCACACCAGTCAGGGCTCTCTATGTAGTTTTAGATTCAACTTATTAGTTCCATGAGAACAAAAACCACTTGGGGATTGTGGAGAGCATTTCATGGAATCTATAGATGCATTTGGGGGAGGATCACTGCCTCCGTGAAGTTAAAGGAACTCAGAAAGTGGCTATCCTTATGCAAAAAAAATGCAATTAGATTTTTATTTATCATATACAATGATCAATTCTAGATGGATTAAGGATTTAAATGTCAAAAAATGAAGCTTTAAAAATGTTAGATATCATTTAGATTTATTTAGATATGTTAACAGATGAATATTTTTCCAAACTCGGGTTAAGGGGAAGATTTCTTACAACACAAAAAGCACTATCATACAAGATTGTAAGAATTGACTATTGAAATTAAGACTTTCTGTTTGTCAAAAGACACTTTAAAGGATAAAGTGAGAAGACATTACACACTCAGGAGAACATATTTTCAAAAAATATAATCAACATAAGCTTTAGTGTCAGGGATATGTAAGAAATACCTACAGGTGAGTGCAAAAAGAATAAACCATGGAAAACTGGGCAAGAGACATGTGAGGGGTAATTCACAGAAGTAGAAAAACACAGCTACACAGGTATCTTAAAGGTACATAAATATACAAAGAGATATTTGTTCTAATTAGTGATCAGAGAAATGCCAGTTAGGACCACAGCAAGATGCCACTTTATGGCCACTGTAGTGGCCTAGATTAAGAATTCTGATCATACTAAGTTTTGGAGAGGAAGTGCATCTGCATGATCTCTTGTAAATCGTTGACGGGAGAAGAAATTTGCCAGCCACTCTGGCAAACAGTCTGGCATAGTAATGTGAAATAGAACATCAGAAATCACTGCCTAGCAACCCCACTTCTAGGTTTGCACCCAAGAGAAATTCTTGCATGTATATACCACGAAACACATGAGAATGTCCATACCTTTGTGAGGAATGAACCCTGGAAACATCCCAAATACTCACTAATAAGTGAGTGGATCAATAAAGTGTACTGTTTGTAGTATATTTTTTAAAAAAGGGCAGCCCTGGCTGGTGTGGCTCAGTGGATTGAGTGCGGGCCTGCGAACTGAAGGGTCACTGGTTTAATTCCCAGTCAGGGCACATGCCTGGGTTGCAGGCCGGTTCACAGCAAGGGATGCACGAGAGGCAACCACACATTGATATTTCTCTTCTTCTCTCCTTCCCTTCCCTCTCTAAAGATAAATAAATAAAATCTTTAAAAAATAATAAAAATAATAAAATAAACATTTCTTAAAAAATAAAAAGTGCAGTATAATACAACCTGTTGATGAAATCCAGCAAGGCTTGTTTTTGTGCTGCCTGCAAGCTAAGAATAGGCTTTACATTTTTAAGGTTTTGCCTAAGAAACCAGGACAACACAGCAGATACCATTTGTGGCCTGCAAAGCCTAAAATACTTTCTGCACCTGAACAGAAAACGTTCTCTGTCCCCTGATCCTATAGCTACATGCGAGCCATTGGGGTGACTCGTAGCTGTGTGATCTGCAGCTGTGCTGTCCAAAACAGCCATTAACCACATGTGGCTGTTTAAGCATACATTAATTTAAACGAAGGAAAATAAAAAATCCTGTTCTCCAGTTGCAGTAGCCACAATAAAGTCAAAACAACTAAAACCAAAATGATTTCTTTTAGGACCACACACAGATGGTATAAAGAGGAGAGCAAAGAAGTAGTGAACCCAGGATTCAGGACTGTGGTTACTTTGAGGTGAGGAAGGCTGGGGGACTTCCAGTCCTCGCTGGAGTTACAGATAGTTTGTGCAGAACCGGCAGCCCCTTGGAACTGTGCCACAGCCCATGGCCCACAGAGAGATTGCTTTGCGAAAGTGTTACTTTTTCGGCAGGAGTTTTCATAAAGGCATTTTTAATGGCTGTGAGCACATCGCCTCTGGGGCTGCTTGGTTATTTTCATAGGCCACCAGGGGTCGCTCTTGTTCTTGAAATCATGACTCAGCAGCCTTTCCTTCAGGAAAGGTGAGTAAAGCTGCCATCTTATCTGTTAGTGTGGATTTAACCTTGAATAGACTCCTTTCCTCCAAACTCGAAATTGTAGTGATTCCCCGCTCACTAGCCAAGAACCCCCGAGCGCTGCTTATTCATTTATAGGAGGGCCATCACATTAAACTAGCCTGTGTGTGCTTTCAGAAGGGTAAAACTTGATGCGGTTGATCCCTACAAAGGTTTCTGAAAGCATCATGTTTTTGTTTTTAGTAGGAAAATAAAGAGCTGAAGATAGTTTTTTTTCCCCTACTCTAAGTTGTTTGTTTACTTTCCCATCACAACTGGAAAAGAGAAGGTTGGCGGAGTAGAGGGGCATGAAACAGTTGAAACTAAAATATTACACTATAATATTTGGTTATTGAAAATGTGTTCATAGCCCTTAATGTAATTCTTCTGTCCATAACCCAAAGGTTTTCAATGTACTTCCTAAATGTAAAGTGCTTGTTATTTTAGCTGGAGGAGAGCAGGAATGTTCAGAAGCAGATGAAGATTCTGCAGAAGAAGCAAGCTCAGATTGTGAAAGAGAAAGTTCACTTGCAGAGTGAGCACAGCAAGGCTATCTTGGCAAGAAGCAAACTAGAGTCTCTCTGCAGGGAACTTCAGCGTCACAACAAGACATTAAAGGTTAGTTGGTGCATTGTTCTGTGTTTCAGGGGGAACTGCCTCTGTTTTGTTTTGTTTTGTTTTCTATAACCACTGTGTACCTATTTAAAAGAAGTCCTTGTCTCTATTTGGAGATAGAGCTACCACCTTGCCTTCTGTTTTGCTTGGACTGATGCTTAGGGTCCCTCATATTTGCTCACGGGGATCTGGATGAGATTGGTATTTAGAACAAGCTCTCCTGCTGGGAGCCATGACTTAGGAAGCTCAAAGTTACCAGTTTTCAGCTGAGCACTGATGTAGTTCATCACCATGTGTGAGAAGCTGACATGTACGGAGCAGTGAGTGGGAACAGACTAAAGGCAGAATGAGCCTTGGAAGGGAAAACACATGCTGAGTTCCTCCCGGGCCTTTAGCTGCCTTGCCAAGCTGCTCTTGCCCACCCCAGCTATCCAGTTCCTGAGTACTTTTAGAAGAGCACTTATACTTTGGTACATCATAAAGGAAGGGGGAGCAGGCGTTCAGAGATTGACGGTACCAGCAGCGAAAAGGAAAAAGCAGAGACATGGAGCAGGCCTTTCCTCTTGTAGCGTTTCAGTTCGATTTTTACTGAGCAGGACCTCCTCATGCTCCCCCACCACAGCATACCCCAAGGCCTAGAATACAGGAGCGCTCAGGAGAGGGATCTGCACCTCATGTGGAAGCCCGTGGTTTTTTTCTTTGCTTTTGAACCTTTGGATTTAAATGTTATTGAAAAGAGGTGGTATTTTTTTTTCCCATAGCAAACCAATATTTTTATTGGACTTGTTTGGACATGTAAAAGTCTTTTAACACGTATATCCTAGTAAGAGTTGGAAATAGACTTTTCGAGATACAGATTCCATTTGTCCTCTTACCCCTAGGAAATAGAAGCTATGCCTCAGAAAGTCAGCTGCAAGAAGGGATCTGTCTCTTGAGGTTGATTTAAGATGCCTCCTTTCGGAACCACAGAGGGAGCCAGCCGCATGGACAGGCTCCTTACTTGTCTTTCAGGATAGTGAATTTCAGATGGTCACATAGCACTTACAGCAGGGCATTATGTGGCTCTCTGATTGTTCTGTTTACTTAGGAAAGGCTGCTTGCTTTTAAATGGGAGCCTTTTGGTCATAAATAAAGGGAAGGAATTAGAGTTCAGAAGCATCACCTCAGGGCAAGCAGTAAATGGACCCACCTAGGAGCAGCTTTTGGGAGTACCCTTTTCCATGAGTCTATGCCATTAACATTATTTTCCATAACAAGGAAGAAAATATGCAGCAGGCCCGAGAGGAGGAAGAAAGACGTAAAGAAGCAACTGCACACTTCCAAATTACTTTAAATGAAATCCAGGCACAGCTGGAACAGCATGACATACACAACGCCAAACTCCGCCAGGAGAACATTGAACTGGGAGAGAAACTGAAGAAGCTCATTGAGCAGTATGCACTGAGGGAGGAGGTAAAGGTGTTTTCTTCATTTCAACAGCTTGTTATTAGCACGGTCTTTTCACCATTCACTACTAAAGAATAAAAACTGTTGTCGTGGGGGTTGTAGAACTTTTGTATATGTGTAGCGGAAGGCAGGCTTTTCTTAGGAAAGGCACAGCCACCACGTGAAGGAAGGATGCTTTGGGATTGTCGCTTCACAGCACAGGGGTCAGTAGATTTGGGTACGTGAGGCAGTTCCTTAGAGACACATTTAGTACTTCTGTCTTCTATGTGATACTGGAAGATTGTGATTTTAAGATTTTATTCATTTATTTTTAGAGAGAGGAGAAGGGAGGGAGAAAGAGGGAGAGAAATATCCATATGAGAGAGGAACATTGATAGGTTGCCTCATGTACACACCCTAACGGGGCGTGGGGTGGGTGGGGGCCGAACCCGTAACCTTAGGCATGTGCCCTGACCAGGAATTGAACCAGTGACCTTTCGTTTTATGGGACAACACCCAACCTACTGGGTCAGGGCTAGAAGATTGTGATTTAGCATACAGATTGTCCCCTTATCTAGGCTAACAATGAATAAATATCTGGCCTCAGATATCCCATCTCTCAGACATTTGATAATCTGTACAGTCCACACCACCATTGCATTGCACCTATGTTTCAGATTTTTGTTTAAACGGGGGTTTTGTACTATTTGGGAGGCAAAAAGAACTGATTTCCGAACCTTCATACATAACGTCCATAGAATTAGAAAGTTTACTGGAACGGTCCATCACTGCTGATCTTGGTTATTGGCTTCTAACTAGGACTTTTATTTACAAAGGTAGTTGGGAAGTGCAGAGGTAGTATCTATATTAAGAGTAAATAGATGATAACCTGCTTTGTAAGGTTCCTCACTTTTAGAGGTCGAATGGACAGTGTTAGAGGTGTTAGGGTTTTTAAGTGATGCATCCCCTGACTTTTAAGTCAGTAAAATGTTTTGCTTTTATCTGTGTTGTATTCCTTACACAAATATAATAGATTTAAATGAGTGATTAAAAAGTACCCCCCCCCCAAAAAAGACTGGCATCATTTGTGGGTTACTTTATCCAGTTTCCAAGGCAAACCTTAGATTATATTAATTTAGAGTTTTACATATAGCTCTTCAAAAACTTAGTTTTAAAATGGTTTTATTTTTATCAGTCATTTACCTTTTGCTTTTTTTTTTAAAAAAAAAGGAGAATTGCTGATTTTTTAAAAAGTAGAAAATACATCAGCTGGCTTTAGCTGATGAAACCACGATTTCAGCTATATTTCCATCACCTTCCCCTGGGTTATTTTAAAGCAAATCCAAGGTGTCATATTATTCCATTCATAGATATTTGAGGATAAACCTAAAAAAGATAAAGATTTTGCTTCCTTTTTAAGCATACCCACAATACTATTTTCACACCTAAAACTTAACAATAATTATTTAATGTTCTCTCCCCTTTAAAAAAAATCTGTTTGGATCAAGACCCAAATAAAATCCATCATTTTCACGGGTTGCCATGTCTCAAGTCTCTAACATTAAGATATACTTTTCTCTCTTTATTCTTAAAGTGTGTTTATTGAAGAAACTTTTTTTTTGTCCCAGAGGATAAATTTTCCACTGGATTATAAAGCCCTCAATTTCTTACAATTATTCTTTTAGTTTTGTTGTTTAGTATAACAATCTGCCACATCACAGATGTAGAAAATTTTAAAATTATATGTTTAAATCACATTACTTCTGTCTTATTTATTTTGAGTATTATCAAATGTTCTTTTTTTTTTTTTTGGTCAAGAAGAGTTACTCTTTCTACATCTGAGAACAGATGTTCTAATGACTTTATTGTCATTAAAGAGTAACTCCTTAATTTTAATTCTTAGGTGGTTACTATTTCCTTTAGAAATAGTGACAGCCTTTTGCCAAATGATTACTCGTGCCTGGCCCTACACACCTTACATAGTGTAACCATTGGATTGGCTTTTACAGCTCTGCGGTGTGTGTGTGGCCAGCCCCCCATAGGTAGGGGACTGGGATTGGGGGCTTGGGATCTTCCTGCGGCCATTTCTGCCATCACAGTACACGCTTCCTTCAACTGAAAAATTTGGGAAAATTTAATGGGACAAAAAGTCTCCAGGAATTCTGTGTATGATGTTTGTGCTCCTTATCCATCTTTTTCTTGATACAGTCTGAGCCTCACCATCATCGTACGGCAGAAATAGGAAGTACAGGCATGTGGTTGCCAAAGTGCCTGATGGCCCACCTCTGAAAGGGAGGAGTATGGGGTGTTAGGAGAGGGCCCCATTCCTGAGGTTCAGGAGAGGAGGGCACTCTGTCATTAGCTCTGGTGGCATTAGTGGGGAAAGCAGGGTAAGAAGCAAGGCATTGTAACTCATGTTTCCTTGTCATTGTGCTCCATTTTCATTAAGTAATGGCAGGATTTGACTTTCCCTGCAGCATATTGATAAAGTGTTCAAACACAAGGAGCTACAACAACAGCTTGTGGACGCAAAGCTTCAGCAGACGACGCAGCTGATAAAGGAAGCTGATGAAAAACATCAGAGAGAGAGAGAATTTGTAAGTTCTATTTCTTACAAAAGGAATTATTGCCGAATTGTAACTAAAGCCCTTTAAAACATGGAAGCTTACTCCACGTGTATTTGTACCACCTGGTTCATGCCAATTTGTTTTTAGCTCTAGATTGAGAAGGGCATATGTGTGTTAAGAAAGCATTTGGCTTTTTATTTCTATTAACTTTTCGTGCAGAAGATACACTAGAGAGGTTAGACCACGTTACTGGAAAGACCTGCACATGTTTGACTTTCCTGTGCCTAGAATATTTATTTCACTTGAAGGTAATGGTCACCAAGTTCAAGAATGATGCCAGTATTTAGTAGATTAAATTTGGCAATTTAATATGAAGCTTACCAAGCATGGGTCTTTTATAATGATGTTACATTCACTTTTCAAATGCGTACCTTGAAACTAGGGGAGCTATTTGTTTACTTGCTGGTATAATTTTCTCATAAAAATTTTAACAAAATGCTCTAATGCCACTTAGCATTATTCCAGACGGGATCTCAGATTGTATTGCCTGTCTGTAATTGTGAATACAGTGGAATCTCATGGGGTGGGTATGTATATTTAACACATGGACATTCAACTATATGTGCTTAACCAAAATAAATAATGAAAACGAGAAGTGGTTTGGATAATGAGGACTGTTCCGTCCAGCTATCCCTGAAGTAGCGTAGGCCCCAAGGCAGGCCTGGTGTGAAGACTCGTTCTTGAGTGGCCTGTGTGATATGCACGTGCCTTGCTGAGCTTGCATGTAGGGTTCGGACAGACAAGTGTGCACACGGTCCTGCTGTGTGAACTGACGGTGCTTTCCTGTGCATAACTGAAGACATGGGTATCGTTTTCCGAGTCAGAATGTAAATTTCACGTATGCACACACATGCACACAGTGCACGTTTACACTTTCTGGTTGGTTTAAGGACTTTTCAAGGCTTATTTGGACTGTGTGACATTTTACTTCAGGGACTGAATTTCGCAGCTGCCTATTACGCAACTTTGCTATATAATCTTCTTGAAAGCCCAAGTACATAAATTAAAGCTCCCATCTCCCTCTCCCCTGCTTTTTAAAAAGTGATCAGAAACCAGGTCTCTATCCTCCTACGAAGGCGTGTCCTTGGTTCCCTGTCTTTGGACATGTAAGAATTGGAGGCAAAGAAATGTGGACTTGGAGAAGTCTGGGGCCAGCTTGCTCCCCGCAGGCTCAAGATCAACCATCCCACACAGAGGGGGAAAAAAAAAGAAACCAGGTCTCGGATTTCATTGCTTTGCTTCACGCCCTTTCACCCTACCTCATCTTGCCTCTGTGGAGCAGAGGGGTTTGCTAAAGCACCCAGATGATGTCAAGGTTCCTAGCTATGTTTTCTCCTAATAATATACTTCTCAGTATTTTCACCTAAAATACAACAATTCAACCCTGAGTTTTGTAAACCTACTATTAGGCCTCCACAGTACTTTTTCTGAGCGCTGATATTATTCCTGCATTCCTAAGTGTTCATAAATGGGAGAGATCATAGATATTGGTAACTGGCATTCGATGTAACATTTCACCTATAGACTCGGGGTTCTCGATAAAATAATGAGTGGAAGAATTAGGCCTAACCAGTGGGTCGTTTGACATGGTAGTCATATTTATAATTACTATTAGTATTTTGCCAGAATGTTTCTGTTTTCTAGTTGTTAAAAGAAGCAACAGAATCGAGGCACAAATACGAACAAATGAAACAGCAAGAAGTACAACTAAAACAGCAGGTAACTTGACGGCAGGGGACAGTAGAATTTGTAAGAAAAATCTGTGGTTCATTTGATATGCACCTTGATTCTCCTAAGATGCTTTTGCCTGTTCCTGCCCAGAAATGAGAGTAGATCTCGTGTCCCTTTTGGAGTTCTCCTCTTCGTGTAGGGTGACCAATTCATCTCCATTTCCCCAGGACTTTCCTGCTTTTAGCACTCAAAGTGCTGTGTCCCAGAAAACACTTAGGTCTCCGGCAGACTGGGACTATTGGTGACACCATCTGCAGTGTCCCCTTTCCAATATTCCAGGTATTTTCTCTCTTTCTCAGTCTGTTCCCATGTGTGTCCATCAGCTAATTTCTAACTGCAGAAAAACTGATAAATCTTCAGGTTTTATTTCTTTTGTATTCAGTAGAACCACATGAAGTTGCTGATACGTGACTTCTTCATGTACAAAATGGCCATTTCATAGGTTAACCTAAAATCTTTGGAAATTTGTACTCTGAGAACATAATCTACTGTAAAAACTTCCTGTTGGAACCATACAGTCCCACTCCCAGGTAGAGCTGAGGGGTGGTGTTTTTAATTGGGGCCCTCCCTGCTTTTCTCTCCTGTTTTTGTAGTCTGCGATAAGGTATTTTTGACTGTAGTCGCAGTCAAATACATTGCATCCCTGGAACTTGCTCACAATAAAGTTTGTGCCCTTGGCCATCTCCCCGATTTCCCTGCCCCTCACCTCCGGCCGCCAGCATTTTACCCTGTTTCTATGAGCTCGACTTTTTACATTTCGTGTACACGTAAGTGAGATCATACAGTATTCTCTTGCTCTGACTTAGTTAGCATATGCCCTAAAGGTACATCCATGCTGTCTCAAATGGAAGATTTTCTGCTATAGCTAATATTCCATTGTATATACACCGCGTTTCTTTGTTATTGTTGTTCAAGTACAGTTGTCTCCATTTTCCCACTGCCACTCCCCAACAACCTCAGCCATCCCCACCTCCCACCCTCAATCCTAGTCCCCTTTGGTTTTGTCCATGTGTCCTTTATACATGTTGCTTGACAACCTTTTCCCTTCCCCTCCCCCATTATCCCCTCCCCTCTCCCTTCTGGTCGTTGTCAGTTTGTTCTTTATTTCAATGTCTCTGGTTCTGTTTTGCTTGCTTGTTTGTTTTGTTGATTAGGTTTCACTTATAGGCGAGATCATATGGTATTTGTCTTTCACCACCTGGCTTATTTTACTTAGCATAATGCTTTCCAGTTCCATCCATGCTGTCACAAAGGGTAGGAGCTCCTTCTTTCTCTCTGCTGCATAGAATTCCATTGTGTAAATGTACCATAGTTTTTGATCCACTCATTTACTGATGGGCACCTAGGTTGCTTCCAGTACTTGGCTATTGTAAATTGTGTTGCTATGAACATGGGGGTGCATGGGTTCTTTTGGATTGGTGTTTCAGGGTTCTTAGGGTATAATCCCAGTAGTGGAGTTGCTAGGTCGAATGGCAGTTCCATCTTTAGTTTTTTTAGGAAACTTCATACTGTCTTTGGCGGTGTCTGCACCAGTCTGCATTCCCACCAACAGTGCACTAGGATCCCTTCTTCTCCACAGCCTCTCCAACACTTGCTCTTTGTTACTTTGTTTACGATGGCCATTCTGACCTGTGCGAGGTGGTATCTCATTGTGGTTTTAACTTGCATCTCTCTGATAGCTAGCGATATTGAGCATCTTTTCATATGTCTCTGGGCCATCTGTATGTCCTCCTTGGAGAAGTGTCTGTTCAGGTCCTTTGCCCTTTTTTTAATTGGGTTGTTTGTCTTCCTGTTGTGGAGCAGTGTGAGTTCTTTATGTTTTTGGAGATTAAACCCTTGTCCGAGGTGTCATTGGCAAATATATTTTCCCATACAGTTGGTTCCCTTTTCATTTTAGAAATTCTCTTTTCTTACATACATTTCTTACTGCTTTAGAATTTGGGAATATGTTCTTGATCTTTATTTTCAGTTTCCAAGCATGTGGCTACCTGCAGTCTCCACTTGGGGGAAGCACTGATCTTTTCGGTGGGCGCAGAGGATATGAAACCAGGCCGTGCAGCTTTTCCTTATGGTTCCAATTGTGGGTTTTTGCTTTTGTTGCTTGTGCTTTTGGGTGTCATATCCAAAAAATCATTAGGAAGACCACTTTCAGGGAGCTTTTTACCTGTGTTCTTCTAGGAGTTTTATAGCTGCAGTTCTTATATTTATGTCCTTAATCCATTTCAAGTTAATTTTTGTGAGTGGTGTAAGACAGGGGTCCAGTTTCATTTTTTCACATGTGAATATTCATTTTCCCCAGCGCCATTTATTGAAGAAATGGCCCTTTCCCCATTGAGTATTCTTGCCCCCTTGTCACATATTAGTTGACCATATGTGTGTAGGCTTATTTCTTAGTTCTCAGTTCTGTTCCATTGATCAATGTCTGTGGTTTTACACCAGTACCATACTGTTCTGCGTACTTTAGCTTTGTGGTATAGTTTGAAATCAGAGAGCATAGAGCCCCTAGCTTTGTTCTTTCTCCAGATTTCTTCGTCTGTTTGGGTTCTTCTGTGGTTCCATACAGATTTTAGGTTTTTTCAATTTCTGTGAAAAATGTGATTGGAATTCTGATAGGGATTGCACTGACTGGCATTAGGTAGCATGGACATTGTAACAACATTAACTCTTCTGATACATGAACATAGCTTACTACTTATTTTTGTCTTACTTGATTTCTGTTGTTATTGTCTTACAAGTGTTCAGTGTAGAGAACCTTTTTTTCCTTTGGTCAAATTATTCCTAAGTATTTTATGATTTTGGAAGCTATTATAAACAGGATCGTGTTCTCTATTTTTCAGATATTTTGTTCCAATATAGAAATCACTGATTTCTTACATTGATTTTGTGTTTTTGTATCTTTACTGAATTTGTTTTAACAGTGCTTTGGGTGGAGTCTTCACATTTTTGTACATGAGATCATTTGATCAGCACAGATGATTTGGATGCCTTTTATTTCTTTTTCTTATCTCATTGCTCTAAATAGGAATTCTGGTCATGCATGGAATACAAGTCATGAGAGTGGGTACTCTTTTGATCTTAAAGGGAAAGCTTTCAGCCTTTTACTATTGAGTGTGATGTTAGCTGTGGGTTTTTCATATATGGCCTTTATTCTCTTGAAGAATGTTCCTTGTGTACTCAATTTGCTGAGAGTTTTTATTATGAATGGATGTTGAATTTTGTCAAATGCTGTTTCTGTATCCATTGAGGTGATCATATGATTTCTGTCTTTCATTCTCTTGTGGTAATCACATTTACTGATTTGTATATGTTGAACCATTTTTGCATCCCGGGGATAAATCCTATTTGATCATGAGCTCTATGATCCTTTTGGTGTGTGATGTTTTTGATGTGTTATTGAATTCTGTTTGCTAGTGCTTTGTTGAGAATTTTTGCATCTGTGTTCATTAGGGATGTTGGTCTATAATTTTGTTGTAGTGTACTTATCTGGCTTTGGTATCAGGGTGATGTTGGCCCTGTAAAGTGACTTTGAGAGGAAACGGCATTGTCATTTCAGTGTCTGGGAGAATTCACCTGGGCAGCTGTCTGGACCTGGGCCTTTGTTTGTTGCATCCCTACTTCCCCATCCAGGCCCCGTAGGCGCCCTAACGCGCTGTGTCCGTGGTTGCCTTTGTGGCGTGAGGTTAGCAGATGCTGCCTCCCTCTCAGAGAAGAGGGACAGGAGAGTTTCCATGTCTATGAACAGGCGAAATTAGACATTTGTACCTGTAAGTCACCCTGTTTTCAGTTAATAAGATTACATTCTGTTGAAAAAAGTATTACTCATTTAAAAAATTCATTATATAATTAGTTTCCTTAATGTAAAGACTCTAATTTAGTTCAAAAATGTACTGATACATTGAGATTGGCCTGGATTTTAATGAGCACCTCTTTGGAGTGGTATTTGTCTTTGAGTACTTTTTATAATGTGGTGATACTCATTTCCTAAAAAGCTAGTATAACTCAGTGAAAATTTAAGAAGTTTTTTTGAACTTTCCACCATAAGTTACAGGCATGCTGGAACGCTTCTTGGAAATTTGAACCTTATTAACCTGTAAATTACTTGTCCATTGTAAATTGAGAAGAGAATCAGTGTGGAAAAGGTATAAAAAGTTCATATGTTGCTTCAGAAGATGGAAGCTGGACTTTACCGTGGGTGGCACTGCTCTCTCTCCAGGGCCGGGCGCCAGAGGGTCCATCTCCCACACTCCCAGGCAGCTCTGAGTGTCGTACTGTTAATCAGTGCAACTTCTGTTGTCTGATCTGCGTCACCCTGGGTCATGTTATTTGATCATTAGTTGGCTTCCTTTGCTGTCACCTCTTCCTTTGCCTACTTCCTGAATGTGGCTGTCATTCCCAGGAGTTGGTCACCTTCTGCACTCTTACCATGTCAGTTTCCAGCCTTTGCTGACAGTTTCGTCATCTTGGTGTGTCTGAAGCCACTGTTGGTGACCCAGCCACATAAGCCCAGGACTCATGGCAGTCGCCACTGACTGGCTGGCTACCCAGTGTGGGCCGGCCCTGACCTCGCAGATGGGGCTGTCTACCTAGATGTGCCATCTTCAGTAAAAACTGGCCATGCCCAAACTGTCCTAACTTGCAACCTCCCTCAGGCCCTCAAGCACCAGAACTCCCTCACTGGGCCTGAGCACCGCTGCTGTTCCCCGCTTCAGGCCAGCTGCCTCAGGGGCACGGTCAGTGTGGGCCCCTCCACAGGCCGCTCACAGATCCTCTGCGTTCTTTGTAGTTTGCCCCTAAGTTTCCATTCCTCCTCACCCTCACTTTTCCGCGGGCCTGCTTTGGCTATCTTCTCCTGTCTTTGTCTAGCTTCTCACTGGTGACATTGCTTTTAGTCAGCTTCTCCCTCCTACATATGGCAGAGCTTGCTTCTCACTGCTCCGCATATGGCCCACCCCATGTGATAATGGTGGGCTGGTTCTGTCATGTCACATCCTCCCTCCTCCCCATCCCGTTCACGTGGTTGTTTGATGTTCCTCATGCAGCACTGTTGAAAGTGGAAAGGCGTCACTTACGCTATTTCTTGGCCTGTGATGATATTTTATTTTTTATTTTTTTGTCCTCCCCCCCCCCCCCCGTGATGATCTTTTATTCTCTTGCTTTTCTTACGTGTATTGTGTGATCTTGAGCAAAACACTATTCCTTTGGGCCTTTTTCCTTATCCTGAAAATAATGTAATTACATTAGATGGGATTTCAAGAATTTCCTCTGGTCTAAAGGAATCCAGCCTACCCTTGAGGCCTAGGTCAGGCTTCGCCCACATGAAACTTTCCCAACTATTGTGTTCTGACCCCTACTGTGTGCCCCCTTCTCTGAATTTCTAGGCGGGGAGAAAAAGGTGTCTGCATGTTTGATATTCTGCTTGGCTTGTTGGTTAGCATTACTTTACCAAATAGAATAAAAAATTCCTTGAGGGTAGGAGTTAAGAGAAAAATCAGTGTTTTTGCCTTTTACCTTTTTTTCTCTTGACTGTCCTTCCACTGAATTCTTTCTCCCTCAACTAAACCGGTTCTTTGGCTTCCGTGTTATTTTCCCTGCCTACATCAAGGAAAAAGGTACCTTTGATACCAAGCTAAGGGCTATGCAGGTGGTATCGTAAAAGAACGATCTTTTTCCAAGGACAGTTTTTCAGATGTGTGGATGGGAAGGGAGTCCTTCGTAAGGGATTAGTTTCATGAAATTTATAGCTACACAACATCTTTCCGTTTTTATTATAATTGGGGGGATGAAGCTAGTAAATATTTTTACATTCTAAACATTACATCTAAAAATATGGTTAGGTCAGCAGATTTCCAAAGTTTTATTGCATTTCAGCGAATTAGTAGAACTTAAGCCACCTATGCCTGGTGTCCAGGGGTGTGCATTTGTTCTCTTTCCTATGTAAAATGGTTTATTCACATCTAATTGTGGCATTTGCTCTTATTCCTGTCACTTATATAACAAGTAACATTTACCCATAATGTGTTCGTTTTGAAAGTCTTTGGGATTATACATCGTTCACCTGCAACTCACAGTATTTCATACTTTTTTCTGTAGCTTTCTCTTTATATGGATAAGTTTGAGGAATTCCAGACTACGATGGCAAAAAGCAATGAACTGTTTACAACCTTCCGGCAGGAAATGGAAAAGGTAATTGCATACTTTTAGAGTATTATTTAAAAGGGAATTCGTATAAGAAGCTATTTTAAGCACGGTCTCTACGCTGTGACAGTACTGTCTTAATTTCACCCTTTCTGCTCCTCCAGTGGCGCTGTGTTCGGTCACTTTGCCTGCAGCGTACCCAAGGCTGCTGTTCCCTGTGCTCTTACAATTGTCTTTATCGAAGTAAAGTCTCCTATGAAATAGTTTTTTGTTAGAAATAAAGGGGTTTCTTGTGTGTGTGTCATTTTGTTCACTTGAGGTCTTTCCAGCCCACCTCCCCTTCACGTGGCTCCGTGTTGTTGGCTATTAAATTTTTAAAGACATCCAAGCCCAGAGCAGTAATTTCATATTTTGGTTCATTAATATGTATATACTGCTGTTTCTGCCATTTCTTTCTCTGTTAACTGTACTCCCACTGAATTCTGTTTGCCTTGACGAAACCAATTCTTTGGGTTCTGTTTCATTTTCCTGCCTATGTCAAGGAAAGGTTTCCTTGATATCAAGCTGGGAACCAAAATATACCCATTTTTCCACCCGTCCATCCAGCCCTGCATCTGTTCATCCTTAGCTTCCTTGGCATATTCCCTGTAAAGTTGGGGCTTTTAAAAATAATGGTGGTGAGAGGGGAAGCAGTATAACTGGGCCTGGCACCTTGTAAGTGTTTAGTAGGTGTTAGTCATGGCTTACTAGATCTTACTTGGTGTTTGGGAGTGCGTGCGCTGGATTCATGTCGCTGTTGCATCATAGAACGTGTGACTGTGGATGAGTTATTTAACCTTTCTGTCCCTTCCTCATTAAAAATAACCAAAATAACTCCTCTTCATAAAGAAGAGTAGTTTAGGCAGTGCTGAGCCATGTTTCATGCTCAAATTACCACCTTCGGATATTTTTAGACCCAGTAATCTGGAGAATTCAGTGAGCATCAGATTAGTTCCGCCTGCCGGTCATTTCAGCTGCGCTTCAGTCCGGGGGAGCCTTGGCAGTGCCCTATCCTGGCTCCCCTGCATGCGTGCTGCTGAGGCTGAAGAGGTTAAGATGGGGATCCTTCTGGAAAATGCTCCACATTGGAGGCTAGACATTTCTGTCACATAACATTCAACCCAGATCTTCCACACCCTCTGTCCCACTTGGCCTTGTGGTAGTTTCAGGGGATCAGAGCTGGGGCACAGTCAACACTGCGTAAGGGGCTCTTAAAAACGGGGCTCATTGACGGGCAGAGATACATCTCATGGTGAATTGCTGAAAACTGGATCTTGTAAGCATAGGTTTAAGAACACTGCTTTTATTTTTGGACTTATTTATTATTAGCAAAATCTGAAGTCATGAGGATGACCAAAGCTAAGGATTAACTACTTTTATCTTTTTCTTGGTTACTGCAGTCTTTCTAAATTAGGCTGCCTATAGTTCTGAAACTGATGTGGCCTCAGAGATTGTGGTAGAGCATCAATTCTTAATCTTTTGTTTGGGGAGCTGTCCCTCCCAAGATCAGATGAATTAAATTCAGACATAAAACTCACGAACATGGCCATGTTTGGGTGCAGCTTGGAGAGGAGGCTCGCTTCTCTTGTTCTCCCCAGCTATAATGGAAGATGCACTCCATCTTAACTGAGTTCCGTGCAGTGTCTGACAGCTTCTTCCATGGCCGCTACCTCAGAAATCGAGGTCAGTTCTTCTCACAACACGAAACCCTTGCTTTGGTTCCTAGGAGCTTCGGAGATAAGCTCTGCTATCAGCAGACAGGCCCAGCTGTCAGATGGGCCAGGCAGGTGCAGCAATGGGGGTGGGGAGGGACAGTGTGTAGACAAGAAACGGAACATTGAGTTTAAATTTGCAATTGTGTTCATTCACAGATGACCAAGAAAATTAAAAAACTGGAAAAAGAAACCATAGTATGGCGTACCAAATGGGAAAACAATAACAAAGCACTTCTACAAATGGCTGAAGAGGTAAGGTGGTTTCCTGTGACTAGGGTGTGTTCTTAGTCCTGGGGACTCGTGAAGTTGAAGTACCTAGCAGGTCAGGGGTTATGGGTTGTGACAGTAGTGCTCTGGTCGACTCCAGCCCGAGCCAGGGACCCGGGGGCGTTGCTGAGCAGAACCTGTGGCGGCTCTCCTAGCAGTAAGCCGTTGTAGGCGTAGGGTAGAGCCCCCGTGAATTAGCTCAGGCCTGTGATGCACACAGCTGTAAAGCATCTAGATTTTGCTCGTGTCTAGTGGTGGTTTCTCAAACTTGAGCTTTTACCAAACTCCACCTGTCCATTCAGACAGAACTGTACTGCTAGGTTGACTCCAAGTTTGATTCACTAGGTCCTGGGGTGGGGTCAGAAAACCTGCCTTTCTTGTTGGTGCTGATGCTGTGGGTCCAGGGCCCCCACCTTGAGAAGCATTGGTCAGCTTTCCCAGTAAGAGCACAGACCAACAACTCGGGTGCCTTTACTTCCTGCTTTAACTTAGTCTTTTCAAAAAGGTAGTGGTTTTTTTTTTTTTTCTTAAGATTGTATTTATTTTTAGAGGGGGCGGAAAAACAGAGAAAAAGAGGGAAACATCAATGTGTGGTTGCCTCGTGCACCTGAAACCGGAGACCTGGCCTGCAACCCAGGCATGTGCCTTGACTGGGAATCGAACCACGGCCCTTTGGTTTATAGGCTGGCACTCAGTCCACTGAGCCAGCCATACCAGTCAGGGCAAAAAAAAAAAAAAAAAAGGAAAAAGGGAGTCTTCTAAAGCTGAAATGTGTTGTTTACAAACAGATTTCCCACCTTTGATCTTCTCATCTGAAAATTGGTAGAAGAGAAACCTAGGCAAAAATCAGTCCTTACCTGTTTTCAATTAGGCCCTGTAGTAGAATATGTGATGAGTATCTTGAATATCCCAAAGGTGTATTTTAGTTGTTTTTAAGAAACATGACAAGCCCTGGCTGGTGTAGCTCAGTGGATTGAGCACGGGCCTGCGAACCAGACAATTGCGGTTCGATTCCCAGTCAGGGCACATGCCTGGGTTGCAGGCCAGTTTCCTGCAGGCTAGTTCCCAGCAAGGGACGCACGAAAGGCAACCATACATTGATGTTTCTCTCCCTCTCTCCTTCCCTTCCCCTCTAAAGACAAATAAATAAAATATTAAAAAAAAAAAAAAAAGAAACATGACAGAGGGAATTGAATTTTGTCACCCTGGAATTATTTTGCGTTACACAATAGCATGTGGTATTTCTAGATATGTCCGTAGTGAAGCTAGCTAGAATGGTAGGGGTGTTTGAAGAAACTGAACATGTTCGAGAGTTGATGGAACAAGTAGTTTCCAGTGTGGCTCAGATACTTAATTTTTTAGTGTACAATAACTCAATTTATCTTCAGTGAGGTTATACACATCCACTCTTCTTCTCCTACAGAAAACTGTCCGTGACAAAGAATACAAGGCCTTTCAAATAAAACTGGAACGATTAGAGAAGCTGTGCAGGGCTCTTCAGACGGAGAGGAATGAGCTCAACGAGAAGGTAGAAGTCCTGAAGGAGCAGGTCTCAGGGAAGGTGGCTGACACAGATCTAGCACCGCGTGTGACACAGCCCTGTACAGCCCTGGCTTCTTCCAAGGAGCTGAACACTGCCCGGCACAGCGCCGCCGGGGTCCCTGCGGAGGTGGTGCCCAAGGCGGCCAAGGAGAGGCTGGTAGCGCACAAGGCCGCGTCGCCGGGCGCTGGGCCATCCATCGAGTCGGTGGACTGATATGAAGTATGATCACTGTATTGAGAGCTCTATTTTGTGTATAACTTTCTCTGTTAGTAGTAACTATTGGTTTTGTGGTGACAATTTTCTTACTTTTTCTACCATATCTGTATTTTCTTAGAACTACTGGACTTATGTGGTACAGGAGGCTGCTTAGCAGTTTTGAATAGTTTTCCTCAGCTGTATGGCACATCTGCCTCATTTCCCTTCATTGGAATGCATGTCGTCACTGCCTTGTCCTTTCTTCCCCGCTTCATGCATAGAATCATCCTGATGAGAATTTCGCTTAAGACAGGGCCAACCATTACAGCAGAACTTTGTTCTGACGATGGTTCCCTGATGTGAAAGCAATATTCATTTCAACATCTTACCCCCCCCATCAATATTAATCAAAAAAAGAAAACACCAAGATGATTAGTTTTGTCTAACAGCCCATTTAAATGCCAAGTTAAAAAATAAAAACCTCTAGGGTTGGGGCAGAAACAAACGTAGCATACTTGATTCAAAATAGTTTTTTGATAATATTTATATCACTTGACAAATTGAGATGGTCATAAACCTGAAATTTCTCAAAGTTTTGACAATATGTATATAAAGATATCTTATAAACAAAATAGTATATACAGGCAAAGCATTGGACAAAAAGGCTTAACGTTTATGTAACTAACAACAGTCATACTGCTTTGGTTTCAGGTTAGTTAGAGCCAGTGGTATATTTGGACCACCCGGATGCTCACTGTGGGGTAGGTGGTCTCTGTTTGTTTTCCATTTGGGATTTGGGTACACATCTTCCAATTCCCACAGAAAGCAGCCACTTGACAGCCCGTTCAGACAACAAGGGTACATTAACATGTGGCTTTCACCAAGCAGAAGTCCCTTCTGGCTACTTGAAATTGGTGGTCAACTTTTAGGGCAGCCCCATCCGGGAAGTGCTCCATTCCCACTGAAACCAATTTCATTTCCGAAATAGAAAGATTAGAACTGACATTTTGAACTTTGGTTAAACTTAGCACAGTTCAGTAGTCAAGATGTATTACGCATGCTTTCCATCTGCTTCTCACCCTTTTCTGTTTTTTATTTTTAAAGAAAAAAAATACCAGTATTATCAATGTCTCTACACTCGGAATGGGGGGACTTTCGAAATTAAGCACATCACCTTTGGGTTAATTTTCCTTTGTTCTTTACAGTGTCGTATGTAGCTAAGTTATGCAAATGATTAATCAAGCTGCAATGACGAGTTTCGATTTTTTCCCCTAGTATAATTTGCATTGAAATATTTATGAAACAGAAAGGCCCCGCTACAATTGATGTTATTAGCACATTCCACTGAGCAAAACTATCAAATCGACACTTCCTAAATTGCTTACTGGACTGAATAAACTCTGTTCTGTCCAGTTAAAAGGGTTTTCTCTTTATTAAAGTTTTATTTGTAAAATCCTATCCCACTCATGGCCTAAACTGTGTTGAAAGAATCGAAAATTGTCCAGTAGAGAGGAAACAACTCCTCGAGTGGAGGATTATATCTAAGCTTCCACCATCCGTCATGTTAATCAGTGGACCAGACGGTGGAGAAAAATCCACAAAGATCATCTAATCACTCTGTCCAAATGAGCTGGAAGCAGAAACAAACATACCCTCCCCAACAAAAGCTTCTTATAAATTACCCCCCTTTGGCTTCTAAATGAAATATTGGACTCATTTCCCAGAGAGGAAATGAAGGTTTATGTATCAGAAATACCTACTTTAAAATTTGTACTAATGATCACATTTCACAAGAATTCTGCTGGATGTACAGCTCTTAACATTTTAAGCCATTTGTGTAGCCCACCACATCTCACTGTGGTCCTTGTCTGTGTGGAAGATTGTAAATCTTGGACTTGTCGCCTAATTTCAAGGGCTTTATAAAGCAATGTGATTACAGTACTTAGCCTGCTGTTTTTGGCTTCCTACGTATTCCTAGCTAGATGCTACCATGGTGTTTAAAGGATATGGATTCTGTCTGGGATGCGTTTGGTGTCCTTTCAGAATCGGTCTTCCCATTATCCTGTGATTAAAAATAAATGGCACCCTGAGAAGGACACCTTCCTAAAGCAATCACCTCATCGGCCCTGTGTTGTGGCTTTGTAGCACGCTGTTGTACCTTCCATATTCTAGAACACTGTAGTGCTACTAGGCTGGTCCAAAAAAGGTTTAAATGTCAAATTCACTTCAGTTGCATTTGTTGCACCATCATGGAATCTTGGTGTGTATTATTTATAGTGGCAGTAGAGAAAACCTGGTTCTTGGATGATGGACCATTTCATCCTCAGACTTGTAGGAGTACATTTCTTGGTCTCAAGACCAGTATTTTTAGTTATGTATGCAACTGCCTTTACTACACCTGGTTATCACAATTCAATTCTCAGGTGTTGCAGAAAAATCTACCTCTTTCAGATTGTAGATGGAAATAACTGTGAAAAATGATGCAGATAATCTTCTAGTTTGTGCTAAACACACTGCTTTATTTTTACAGCCGTCTTTCATGAGGATACGAATTGTTAAGAGGCAGTCTTGTTTTGCTTTTCAAAGACATTTTGTAGAGATTTTTCACTAATGTGAATCTGATTTTATCTACTCAATTCTGTAGATTAAGTAAATATGTATGATAAATTGAAGAGCTTCTGTGTATTCTTTTGTTATCCACATGGCCTTAATCATGTAACGGTGAAGTCCAAAGACATAGGCAGTTGGTTTCTGACTTTTAAAAGGAGAGTAAGTATACATAGGTATGTATGTTACACACACAGACACATAGGAAAGATCTTATAAACAAAAGTAGCATCAAGTCAGGTGTATAGTATTTTATTTTTTAAAGATTTTATTTTTATAGAGAGCGGGAGGGAGAAAGGGAGAGAAAACATCAGTGTGTGCTTGCCTCTCAGGTGCCCCCGACCATGTGCCATGTGCCCTAGACTGGGAATCGAACCTGTGAGCCTTTGGTTCTTAGGCTGGCGCTCAAATCCACTGAGTCATACCAGCCAGGGCAGGTGTATAACACATGGTCTTTGTCACACCTTTTTTCCTTCCTATTTCTATCTAAACCTTTTATTTTTATTTAATTTACCTTTTATTTTTTTAATTTTATTTATCTTCGGAGGGGAAGGGGAGAGGGAGAGAAATATCTATGTGTGGTTGCCTCTCGTGTGTCCCCCGCTGGGAACTGGCCTGCAACCCAGGCACGTGTCCTGACTGGGAATCAAACCACGATCCTCTGGTTTGCAGGCCTGCGCTCAATCCACTGAACTACACCAACCAGGGTTAAACCACCTTTTAAAAATGAATGTGAAAAGGCTTTTCAGGAACTACTATGTATAGGACACATGGACAAAACCAAGGGGAGGGGGTGGAAGCAAGGTGGGGAGGTGGGTTTGGCTGGGGTGGGGGGATTGACTGGTCGGGGAAATGCAGACAACTGTAATTGAACAACAAAATAAAAAGGAAAAAATCATTCCTAGTGTCCTGGCCTGGCGGTTCAGTTGGTTGGAATCCCGTCCCATAAACCAGAGGGTTGTGGGTTGGATCCCCAGTCAGTGTTTCTCTCTCCCTTCCCCGTCTCTAAAATCAGTAAACATCCTTAAGAGAGGATTCACTTTTTTAAAAAAACATTTTAGCTGACAGGCCTTACAAGATAGGTTGAGGAGCCAACCTGGAAGCTGGTTTTGTCTCCTCTGTGGATCTCTGTGATGTGAGCAAAAAAGCTTTCCTTCATTCCTTTTTTTTGTGGGCAAGGGGTGGATCTAGAGTTTGTTTAAAACTGCCAAAGTTAAGGCACAACTAGGATACAGGTCAAATGACATAGAAGGTAGTTCTAGGTTTACAAATGTACCAGACACAAAGTAGACACCTAACTTCTCCCACCTTTGGATTTAGGATACTGTCGTGTACCATGGAGAGAAATTCAGTGAGAGCTCAATGTATATACATAACAGCTTCCTCCTAAGAAAGGCGCGCACACACACACACATAACATCCACCCACCCCATCCAGGTTCTAAAAGAATAAAACAGAATTTATTTTAAAACTTTATTTACTGCAAAGCCAATCAACAAGTGTTGGAGGGGAAAAAGTGTAAAAGTTATTCTTGCATATTCGGGAAGAGCAAGCACTTAGGTTTGAGAAAACAAGAACTTAAAATAGTTGAATCAAAAGCAGTACCCTGCTACTTGTATTTTAAAATGCCTGTGATGTTCTTTCTTAGCAACGTTTCTTCCCTAAAAGCTACAATATGATACAGAACGCAATAGCTCACTTGAAAGTGCTAGAATCAGAAGGTAAAGAATGCCATATGCCATCCCACTTAACATTTCCTACTATACAATGCTTATTTTGGCGCTTGATAAACCAAGCATTCATGGTTAGCATTACATTCAACAGAAACATTTCTCATACTTTGGGTTTAAGATCCTTGTCCCTCCAGTTCCGATGTTGTGACATCTGACTCTTCATCATTGTAAATATTTTCAGCCTGGAGATAACCAAATAAATTTGTAAGTAAAAGTCTCCATCATATTATTAACAAGATTATAAACACAGCATTTAATAATTCTGTCTATCCAGATTTTTGGATTCACAGGTGAATGTTTCAGTGTTGGAAATGGACACATTGCTCAAGTGGCTTATTTAGCTTTCTTTGTGTTTCCCCCCCAAAGGCTCTAATAAATGTAACGAGGAAAGGCAGGTTGGTGTATAATTCCACATATATCCCTGGCAGCCCAAACACTATTGCAGTTATTGTTCATAAAAGGTGTTTCCCAAAAGCTTTTGAAGCATTATTTAGAGGGAGTGATAGCCCTGAGGTTTACGAAGAGTTGATTAACACCTCAGCACCTTAGAGATGTCCTGACTTAGTGCTAATCTTCAGAGAACTCAGTATCATGTGAACGTGTTGACACTTTCCTCCTGTATCCTCCATGCCTATGACAACACTGAACACAGCACTGACGCCAAGAGTCCAGATGATGAAAGGTAATAATCATGAACATCAGAGCACATGCTGTGTCTACACCTGCGTGTTTATAGACACATACAGACACTTCTCCTGACTTGACAGGAGTACAGTGAACTAAAGACAGCCATTAAAATGGAAAAAGCGTTTTGAAGATGGTTTCCTTTCTATAAATATTTGACACAATATACACCTAGGTGTGTGAAGTATTTGTTACATTATATCATTAGTAAGTCTCTCCTTTACATGATCATTTAAGGAAAAGCATAGTTTAGTTCACCATTTGCCAGATCTGCATGATGTTATCCTCAGACACTGAGCAAATGACCCATGGCTCATTGGGGTTCCAGCTGAAGTCTGATATCTTCGCAGTGTGTCCTCCATGAATAAACTGTTAATAAGAACAACAAAAAAGGCCAAGGTGTCACATCTTACGTTAAAAGTTAGTTTTTAGCGCATCAGTCTTGCAACAACGGGACTGGGCGTGCCTGTCCTGCAGTTTGGAGAGAGGGTGGTACCAGCTTGGTGCACCCCCACATAAACCTTCAAGGGGCTGACGAGGTGATTTGATTAGCAACAGGAGGGAGGCAGGCACTGCTGGCATCAACAAGCTCAAGAAAGCATAGTCTCTGGGCAGTGAACTTCAAAAATCCAGTCATTAAAAATTTTCCATACCATTAGAAAGTATTAAGTGTTGCTAAGTGAGTATCTGCTCCCTCCCTGCAAAAAACCCCTGAGAAATCAATGAAATCAATGAGGAGTTACTATATACTATTTTCTAGGAGCTCAAATTATTACTAATGAAACATTGCCAAAAACCTTCTGGGTTCTAGTTTCTATTTTAAGTAAACATCAAACCCCAATCACGACAACCTCCAAGACCTCCAACTGGAAATCATCAAGAGCTAGAATCTGAGGTTGACTCATTTTCCATATACATGGATCAATGACAGAATCCAATCTGCATGTGACATTTCATCTTGCATAAGAAAGCCAACATATACCAGGAGTTCAGGAGGCCCATCTTCTGCATCCTCTGCTGATTGTTCTTCTCCAATTTTGCTAGTGAGAAAGAGCATAATGCTTTTGTTACTGAAATTCCTGCAGCATGAAATTCCTGCAGCACACACATACTGGAAAAACAACACTTCTATGCTGCTCTCAATTAGTTTTTGTATTACTTGGTGGGACGGTGGGTGCTTACTTTCCAGAAATGGGTAAGAGCTGTTTCTAACTGGAGCTGCAGAATAGAAATTGTTAATAAATATTAAAATCCATTCAGTATTTTTACTGTCGTGTTTACACTGCTTTAGAATTAAAAGGTGAAAAGTATATAAAATATCTGCAGAAGAACTGATGCTGGCCCCCTACACTTCATTCTTTTTCATTCCAGGTGTGAGAAGCAGTAACACATCAGGCCCACAGACCTGAAGATAGGACAACAAACCAACTTCATGGGATGTGAAGGCCAGTGAAAACTTAGTGAGTTTTCTTTTTTCTTTTCTTAAATACTTCGATTTGTAGAATCTGCTAGCAGTCCCAACAGTGAAATCACTCCTAAATGACACACCACTTATCAGCCCTATCTGATTATCTAGCCCAAAGGTGGACTTTGCTAGTAATAACTGCTGGAAAAACAGCCAAAATACACAACCTTCTAAGTGATAGACTTTGTTCCTTCCCATAAAACCAATGAAACAAACCAAACACGTGGGACTGCTAGACACTGTGTTTGTCCTCCCCCTCTGAACAGTGTAACTGCTAACACACTGACCATTTTAATATGTATTTTTATCTAATGTAATTTTAATGGTAAGCAAGTCATAAATGAATTTTAAGAAGTTGTACATTTATTGGTACTTTTAGGGACAATCCAACTGCCAGGGCCTCAAACCTTACTCTACTACCTCATATAACCACCATCTATTTTTGGTTTAAGGTTTCTAATTTTACTACTACCATTGTTCTCAAATATACTCAAATATCTGCTTTAAAGGCCCTCTACATTTTTAAGCATCTATCATGGCCACAGTTTGTTTCATCAGAACACAGGACATTATTAGATGTTTAGAAGTTTTACAATACCAGTATTTTATTCTTCACAGTCTCTGTCCCCTACACTGAAGGATGGGTTCTAGTGTCCTGTAATTAAGGCAGCTTTGGTTTTAATGCACTAAAAACTCAGTCCATTTCAACACAATACATTTAATACAGGTAAGGAAAAAGTTATTCATTGGTAATTTAAAGATTTAAACATAACAGTATCCAAAGGAGAAGTATGTATTATAACTGAGCAACCTTACTAATGGCTCCACAGGCTCAAACCCAAAAAAGGAAAGGGGTCTGGAAATTCTTGGAATGGCCACTCTAAAGCCAACAACTTTCAGAGTTGGAGGAAACTCTTCATACAATGAGCCCTCCGAAGAACATAAACTCTGCCAACAGGGGCTGTGCTTATCCTGTTCCTAAGTTACAGAACCCACAGCATGAGCTCATCTGCTGAATGCATCGATCAAAGTACAGAAGAGCAAATGGTAGTAAATCTCTGCGAAAGACTACTCCTGCAGGTGTACACTGAGATCCCATGAGACATAAACAGCTAACATCTCTACCCCTTTCTATAGCAGAAGTGTTTTCAATATAATCATTTGGATATTACAACACAAATGC